CTTTTTCCTATTAGATATCCTTTCCTGCTCTGTCAGAGATTCATTGACCATGTAATTGTGGGTTTATTTATAGATTTTCTGTTCTTTTATTGTCTATGTGTCTGTTTTGATTACTGTAGCTTTGTAATATAATTTGAAGTCTGGAATTGTGATGCCTTCAGCTTTGCTTTTCTTTTTCAGGGTTGCTTTGGCTATTTGAGCTCTTTTGTGGTTCCATACAAATTTTAGGATTATCTGTTCTAGCTCTGTAAAAAATGCCGTTGGTATTTTGACGGGAATTACATTAAAAGTATAGATTGCTTTGGGTATTACAGACATTTTAACAGTGTTTGTTCTTCCAATCCATGAGGATGGAATGTTTTTCCATTTCTTTGTGTCATCTTCAATTTCTTTCATCAGTATTTTATACTTTTCAGAGTACAGGCGTTTGACCTCTTTGCTTAGGTGTATTCCTAGATATCTTATTTTTGGTGCAGTTGTAAATGGGATTGTTTCCTTAATTTTTCTTTCTGCTGCTTCATTATTGGTGTATGAAATACAACAGATTTCTATAGATTGATTTTGTGTACTGCATCATTACTGCATTGGTTTATCAGTTCTGTCAGTTTTTTGGTGAAGTCTTTTAGGTTTGTGTCTTTTTTTTTTTAAGATTTTATTTATTTGACAGACAGAGATCACAAGTCGGCAGAGAGGCAGGCAGAGACAGAGGAGGAAGCAGGCTCCCTGCTGACCGAGAGCCCGATGCAGGGCTTGATCCCAGGACCCTGGGGTCATGACCTGAGCCGAAGGCAGAGGCTTAAACCCACTGAGCCACCCAGGCGCCCCGGGTTTTCTATATATAGTATCATGTCATCTGCAAATAATGAAAATTGTACTTCTTCCATACTGATTTGGATGCCATTTGTTTCTTTTTGTTGTCTGATTACTGTGGCTAGGACTTTTAATCTGCGTTGAATAAAAGTGGTGAAAGTAGACATCCTTGTCTTGTTCCTGACATTAGAGGAAAGGCTCTTAGTTTTTCTCCATTCAGGATGATGTAGGTTTTTCATATAATGCCTTTATTAAGTTGATGTATGTTCCCTGTGAACCTACTTTAAGAATGGATGTTGTACTTGTCAAATGCTTTTTCTCCATCTATTGAAATGATCATAAGGTTCTTATTCTTTCTCCTCCTGGTGTGATGTATCATGTTGATTGTTTTGCAAAATTGAACTACCCTGGCAACCCAAAAATAAATCCCACATGGTCTTGGTGAATGGTATTTTTAATGTATTGTTGGATTCAGTTTGCTAGTATTTTCTTGAGGGTGTCTGCATCTGTGTTCATAAGATATATTGACTCGTAGTTCTCTTTTTTGTGGTGTCTTTACACGGTTTTAATATCAGGCCTCATAGAATGAACTTGTAAGTTTTCCTTCCTCTTCTGATTTTGGAATAGTTTGCTAAGAATAGGTATTAACTCTTCTTTTAGTGTTTGGTAGAAATGGCTTGTGAAGCCATTTGGTCCTGGACTTGTTTGTTGGGGATTTTTGGGTTATTGTTTCCAGTTTTCAGTTGTGATAACTTATATGTTTGGTAGGTTATGTGTTAATTTGTATGTTTGTAGGAATTTATCCATTTCTTCTAGGTTGTCCAGTTTGTTAATGTATAGTTTTTCATAATATTCTCTGATAATTTTATATGGTATTTATTGTTATTTCTCCTCTCTCATTTGTAATTGTATTTCTTTGTATTCCTTCTCTCTCTCTCTCTCTTTTTTTTTATAAGTCTGGCCAATTTTGTTGCTCTTTTCCGAGAACCAGCTTTATTGATCTGTTTTGTGTGTGTGTGTGTGTGTGTGTGTGTGTGTAATTGATCTGTTTTTATATATACTTAAAATATCTATATTATATAGATATATATCTTTTATATAGATATATATTTACATATACAAATATATTAAATGTGTATTTAAATATATATATATTTTGTGTAATTCTTTTTTATCTCTTTTATCTCTTTTAGCTTGATTACTTTCCATTACTCTGTCTTATGGGTTATTAATTTTTTCCTCTGCTTCATCCAGCCTTCTGTTCACTCCTCCAAATGTGTTTCTCATTTCATTTCTTGAGCCCTTCCTATTACGTTATTCTTATCTCTGTTAATGGTCTCACTGGTGTCTTCCACTCTTTTGTCAAGTCCAGTGAGCATCCTTATGATCATTACTTTAAATTCTCCATCAGGCATGTTACTTATATCTGTTTTGTTTAGATCTCTGGCCATGACCTTGTCCTGTTCCTTCATTTAGGACAAATTCCTATTTTCTCATTTTGTCTAAGTACTCTATGCCTATTTCTCTGTGTTAAAAAATTCAGGTAATCTCCTTTTCTTGAGGGTAGCGGCCTTATAAAGAAGAGTTTCTGCTGTGTCATGCAGTGTAGTGTCCTTGTTTCCTAGGGCCTGGTGCTTTAGGGAGTTTCTCCAATGTGTGCTATGTGTTATGCTGACATGTCCTGGCTGCTTTATCCTTCAGGCTAGTCATCTGCAAAGCCTTTCTTTGTCTGTTAGGACCAACGTTTGGTCCCTGGCCTCAGTGGTATGCATTTTAACTAGGTGTGCTCTGGTCTGCTTGTGAAATGAGACCTGTCACCATTGCCACTGGAACTGAGGCCTCACTAAACTCCTAGATCAGGAGACACAGTGTTAGTGGGGGGTTTGATCCAGTATTCTGGGGTAGGGGACCTGCCAGGTGTTACTGGGAAGGGTGGTTCCACTGTAGCTTGGTGGAGCTGGGGCTTGTTGAAAGCAAGTTGAGTAGCTAGTGTTGTTACTGTGTTGGTTCCCACAGGTGGCTCTGTGTTTATGCTGAGGGATGGGGGAGTGAAATGGCACCTGCTGATTCCTTTGTTCCTTGAGGGGTCTCTCTGTGATTGCTGCCTCTCAACTGACCTCTCCACTGTGTGCCCCAGGTACTCTTCAAATCACTATTTCCACACTGTATGTTCGTGGGCTGTTTGACCTGCCTTTTCTCCAAAAGCAGCCCCGTGTCCTCCAAGCTCTCTCAGAGCCACACACACTGACCTTTTAAACTCTGGGCGTTAATCCCCACTGGTTGCATGAACTCTCAAAATTTGGGTCCTTTCACTTTCTAAGCCAATTGCTATGGAGATTCATTTTCTCCGTGTGCTTCCCAGTGTACTAGTCTGTCTCTTACTCTTCTCCATGTCTGCAGCTCCCTCCCTACCACAGCAGACATGATCAATTTCTCTCCCAAGCTGCATCTCCAGACTTCCTAACTTCTTTGATGTGGCCTCTTGTCTACTTTTAGATATGGAGTACACATCTTCATATCGATTTCTGGGATACTTAAGATGATTTGATAGTTGTGTAGTTGTATTCATAGAACAAGGTGAGCCACGGGTGGTCCTACTCTGCTGCCATCTTCACCCACTCTATATTTTTATTTTTTTGAGGAACCTCCATATTGTTTTCCGCAGTGGTTGACCAATTTACGTACCCATCAACGGTACATGAAGGTTCCTTTTCCTCTACATCCTTACCAACACTTTGTATTTCTTGTCTTTTTGTTTTTAGCATCCTAACAGGTGCAAGATGGTGGTAGCTCATTGTGGTTTTGGTTTGCATTTTCTTGATGATGAGTGATGTTGGGCATCTGTTCATGTGTCTGTTGGCCATCTTTATGTCTTAATTGGAAAAAATGTCTGTTCAGGTCTTCTGCTCATTTTTTAATCAGGTTGCTTTTTGGTTCAGAGTTGTATAAGTTCTTTATATATATCAGATATTAACCTCTTTTGGGTATACTATTTGCAAATATCTTCTTCCATTCAGTAGGTTGCCTTTTTGTTTTGTTAATGGTTTCCTTTGCTGTGCGAAAGCTATTTTGATGTTATCCCAATAGTTTATTTTTCCTTTTTGTTTCTCTTGTCTTAGGGGACATACCTGAAAAAAAAAAATACTGCTGTGGACAATGTCAGAGAAATTACTGCCTGTGTTCTCTTCTAGGATTTTTATGGATTCAGATCTCCTATTTAGCCCTTTAATCCATTTTGAGATTGTTTTTATGTATGGTGTTAAAAGACAGTCCATTCTATTGTGTATAGCTGTCCAGTCGTTCCAGCACCATTTGATGAAGAGACTGTCTTTTCCCCCATTGTATATTCTTAATGTTCTTTGTCATAGATTAATTGACTATATAAGTGTAGATTTGTTTCTGGTGTCTCTATTCTGTTTTATTGTACATGTGCCTGTACCAGTACCTTTCTCTTTGGATTACTACAACTTCATAATCTACCTAGAAACCTAGATATTGTTTAATGAAACTGTATGGGTCAGGTTGTGATATGAAAGGTAAGTAGATATTAGTATAGGTCATAGTAAATAATATCTGAAAAGCACTGATGTAAGCCAGTTATTTCTTTTGGGTATTGGTTACCTATACCAGATCCTCAGCTTATAACTCCTGCCCCAATAATCCCACTGTGAGTTGAAAATATTTTAAGTTTAATACACCTATCAAACATCATAGCTTAGCCTATCCTACTTTAAACATGCTCATAACACTTAAAATAGTCTATAGTTCAGCAAAAGTATCTAACTTAAAGATTACTTTATGATAAAGTGTTGAATACCTCATGTAATTTTTTTATACTATACTGAAACTGAAAAGCAGGATGATTACGTGGGTGCAGAATAGTTGTAAGTATATCACCTGTTTAACCTCACAATCATGTGGCTGCCTGGGAGCTGTAATTTACTGCGACTGGTCGGGATCATGAGAGTATTGTACTGCATATTGATAGCTTAGGAAATTAACAAAATTCATAATTGAAGTACAGTTTCTACTGAATATATGTTGCTTTTATACTATCATAAGAGCAAAAGTTTATAGGTTGAACCATCATAAATTGGTTATCATCTATAGATATTTTCACATATAGTCTTTTCTACTATGGGTTCTCCTGAAATGACAACAGAAATGTTTGATGTTCTCTTATCTTTCAGACTTGCCTTCAAGGAGTGCAAATAAAGACTTATCTCCAAAAAATGACACTTATGAAACAGAACTATCCCAATGGGAAATGAGTGCCAGGCTTGAAAACTGTGATCTTGAGGAGTCCAGTTCCAGAGATTATTTGGAAGTCAGAGACACATTGGAAAAGCAACAAGAAAATCAGGAGGAATATTTCAGGCAAGGGATGATCATATATGAAAAAATGTCCATTTTCAATCAGCATGCTTACTTATCTCAACATCCTAGGTGTCATTCTACTGAGAAACCCTATAAATGTAAAGAATGCGGGAAGGCCTTTAGACGAGCCTCACACCTAACTCAGCATCATAGTATTCATACTGGTGAAAAACCCTATGAATGTAAGCAATGTGGGAAGGCGTTTAGTCGTGATTCACAGCTCATTCTTCATCAGAGACTTCATACTGGTGAGAAACCCTATGCATGCAAGGAATGTGGGAAGGCCTTTACTCAGAGCTCACAGCTTATTTTACATCATAGAATTCATACTGGTGAAAAACCTTATAAATGTGAAGAATGTGGGAAAGCCTTTATTCGTAGCTCACAACTTACCCGACATCAAAAAGTCCATACTGGTGAGAAACCTTATGAATGTAAAGAATGTGGGAAGGCCTTTACTCAGAACTCGCAACTTACTCTGCACCAGAGACTTCATACTGGTGAGAAACTCTATGAATGTAAAGAATGTAGAAAGGTCTTTACTCAGCTCTCACAACTTATTCTACATAAGAGAATTCACACCGGTGAAAAACCTTATGAATGTAAGGAATGTGGGAAAGCTTTTATTTGTGGCTCACAGCTTTCTCAGCATCAGAAAATTCACAATGGGGAAAAGCCATATGAATGTAAGGAATGTGGAAAGGCCTTTATTCGTGGCTCTTTGCTTATGCAACATCAGAGGATTCATACTGGTGAAAAGCCCTATAAATGTGAAGAATGTGGGAAAGCCTTTATCCGTGGTTCACAACTTACTCAACACCAGAGAATTCATACGAATGAGAAGCCTTATGAATGTAAGGAATGTGGAAAGACCTTTAGTCATGGCTCACAGCTTACTCAACATCAGAGAATTCATACTGGTGAGAAACCCTATCAGTGTAAGGAATGTGGAAAGGCTTTTAATCGTGGCTCACTCCTTACTCGACATCAAAGGATTCATACTGGTGAAAAACCCTATGAATGTAAAGAATGTGGGAAAACTTTTAGTCGTGGCTCAGAACTTACTCAGCATGAGAGGATTCACACCGGTGAGAAACCTTATGAATGTAAGGAATGTGGGAAATCTTTTATTCGTGGCTCACAGCTTACCCAACATCAGAGAATTCATACTGGTGAGAAGCCGTATGAATGTAAAGAGTGTAGAATGGCCTTTACTCAGAGTTCACATCTTTCTCAACATCAGAGACTTCATACTGGTGAGAAACCCTATGTATGTAATGAATGTGGGAAGGCCTTTGCCCGTGGCTTACTACTTATACAGCATCAGAGAATTCATACAGGTGAGAAACCATATCAGTGTAAGGAATGTGGGAAGGCCTTTATTCGTGGCTCACAACTTACTCAACATCAGCGAATTCACACTGGAGAAAAGCCTTACGAATGCAAGGAATGTGGGAAGGCCTTTAGTCATGGCTCTCAACTTACTTTACATCAGAGAATTCATACTGGTGAGAAGCCCTATGAATGCAAAGAATGCAGGAAAGCATTTACTCAGAGCTCACATCTTTCTCGACATCAGAGAGTTCATACTGGTGAGAAACCCTATCAATGTAAGGAATGTGGGAAGGCCTTTACTCGTGGTTCACAACTAACTCAACATCAGAGAAGTCATATCAGTGAGAAATCTTTTGAATATAAGGAGTGTGGGATAGATTTCAGTCATAGCTCTCAAGTTTATATATGAATTACCTGATTCTTTATGATTAAGATAGCCTTCTCTGGTCACTAATCCATTATTATCAAAGAATTCCTAAAATGTGAATATGGGAGCATATTTGCCTCATAAAGTTCAGCATCAGTGAATTCTAATGGGGGAAGATACTGTTAATGTAATCTATGTAGAAAAACCTATCATTACTGGAAACCTATTAAACTTTAGCTTATAATAATAGAGAATAATTCTGTTAATATAGTAAATATATTAAGGCCTTTGGCTGTAGAATTTGTCTTTTCCAACATTATTTTGACTCTACCAGCTACTTTCCTTCATGACATTTATAATTAACCTCTGCTTTGGCTTAATCATTTGTAAGATAGGCCTAATACCTTCCTTGTAAGATTCTTGGAAGTATTATGTGAGACATTTCATGTAAAGTTCTTAGAGCAGTGCCTTGAACATAGCATACCACAAGTATTAGCTATCATTATTACTAGTATGATTTTAGAGAATTTGCATGAGAAGAGGACACTTAGGGGTATAATGAATATTGAGAAATCTTTCATTAATATTTGACCCTGACTGTTTGAGTGGGGGCCACTGTATGCTGTAATGAACATGAGAAAGCTTTCATTCACATCTTATTCCATATGCTAGAAGAGGAAATTCATACTGTTGGGGGTTGGGGGTAGACAAAAATTTGTAGATTTAATCAGTGGATTGTTGAAGAGAGGTAAAGTGAATTGTAACAAGGTCCAAAAATTCATATGTCCTATCATTTTTACTATAATTCAAGAATATTATTTAAGAAATGAAAAACAATGGCTAGCCAAAATAAAATTTCCTACTAGGAAATTTCTAAAAACTTGAATGTACAGCTTTTTAATTAAACTAAAAATAAACTGATATTACTATTTTGCAGTGAAACATGACATTCTGTCACAGACTGCTACTTCCCTACCCAATATCCATTTTTCCTTTAGAGTTCTTGGCTGAAAAATGATCTCAGCCTCGTTTGCAGGTCAGCAAGATGGAAGTGGTATTTCTACATGTAGGACATTTAAGAATACCTTTCTCTCTCTGCATTTCTTTGTTTCCCTGCCAACAATGTGGACATTTAGTTTACAGCTCTGGTGATTTTATGGAGAATTTGAAAATGATTATCTGGGTACTAAGGATGATGGAGCAGAAATACAGAATGAGTCTACACCTGTACTGATTTTTTTGGAACAGTTGTACCAATTCTGGTCTGTCTGCCTCCTGTATTTCTTTATATAAAATTCAAATAAACTTATTTGTTGATGTTGTTGTTATTCTGTCATTGACACTAAAATGTGAATTTTGTACCCAGAAGTGGAGTGCTATGGGTAAAGGAAATCTTATAGATGGCATTGACTTTGTGCCATCATGAATGAGAATTAACCTACTTCAGGCTAGAAAACTAAAGATTTTTGCTTTTATAGACAGGACATTTGGTCTGACTCTCTTCCAGTCTATCTTACAAGGCAGATCCTTCACCAGTTAAGGCTGTAATTTTAGTAGAAATGGTAGGAGTCATTCAGAATGTGTGTTGGGTGTTTCTTGCTGCTTTTGGTAATGTCCCGTGAAAGATAAATTTGGTACAGACTTAGTTGCAGAGGCGACTAGCAGAGATTGAAAGCGATATTGCTTTGTTAAGAGATGTCATCTCTCCCTACAGGCATCTAATCCTGGTTGACAGTAAATTCATATATTGCTATATCCCAGCCACTGTTTTTAGGTGTTTGGGATATATCAATGAGCAACTCTAGCAGGTGGAGATAGAATAGTTATAGAAAAATTACAGAGTATATTAGAACATTAGTGTTATGGAGGAAAGGTCATTCAGAAGTAGTTCAGAGGAATATGAAAGTTAATGAAATGGACCATAGATAAGAAATGATTTGAGTCGAGATTTGAAGACATGAAAGAGAAAGTGGTTATCTAAGGGAAGAGTACTGCAGACAGGAGAAAGCTAAGAACAAAGGCCCTACAATGGGATGATGTTAGTATACTTGAGGAACATCAAAAAAGCTATTGTATAGGTCTGTGCAAGGGGGTAATTAATAGAGGAGGATGGAGAGATAACAGGGCCACATCTTGTAAGTCCTTGTCAGTCACTGTAAGCATTTTGTAATTTTTTCTGGTGGAAGAGGCAGCCACAGGAGTGTTTCAGCAGAGGATGTGATTTGACAAGCTGCCATTGTGTTGTTTAAATTAAAAAAAAAAAAAAAAGTGAAGTGGGTAAGAGGCTGTGGCCCCTTAATTCAGATGAAAGATGTAAGCTTACATCATAATGGTAACAATGGTGAGAAGTGGTTGGACTCTAGATATAGGGTAAATGTGAGCAAGCAAGATTTGTTTAAGGGTTAGATATCAGGTGAGAGAGAGAGGTTTCTGGGGTGACTTTGCCTCACAGATTTTGGCTTCAAACAACTGGAAAGATGGTATTCCCATTAGCTGAGATGGGGAAAGCTGCAATTCCTTCAGGTTTGTTGGGGATATTGGGGAGTTCAGTTTTGAAAATGTTGAGTTGAAATATTTTTTAGACAAAATGATAATATTGATTAGGCACTTGGATGTTTTAGCTTGTACTGTTCTAGAGATTATATTAATTTGTTAAGTATTGCCTATACTTACATAAAACCATGACACAGAGTAAGATCATTAAAGACTTGGGTATAGATAGAGAAAAGACTGATCCACAGTGCCTTCTAACATTAAGAATTCAAGGATCAAAGGACAGACTAGCAAAGGATGTTAAGAAGGACGGTTGGGATAGAAGGAAAAACAGAATAGTGTGGCATTACAGAAGCTACATGAAAGTGAGTCAAAGGAAGACGATCAATGGTTGTAGATACCATTAGCAGTCATAATACTAGATGAGACTTGACTTGAACTTATCCATATTATTGTTGATCTTGAGAAGAGTAGGGGTATTTTTGTTTGTTTTGGAGTGGTTGAATTAAGAAATTGGGGACAATGAATATAGACACAACTGCTTGGAGGTGTTTGCAGCAAATACAAGCAAAAAAAAAAAAAAAAGTAGCAACAGGAATTAGAGTGTCTCCAGGATGGGAGAAGTAATAGCAATTCTGTATGCTGTTTGGAATAATTGGATGGGGGGAATAATTCATAACAAAGAGGTGAGAATTACTGGAGCAATGGCTTTATGCCAGTGAGGGGATAAGATTTAACAGATGGAGGGATCATTTTGGGTAATATCCTGGAAAGTTTATTCCTGACAATAGTATGGCCAAATATGGGGTGCTGGGAAGTAAGTAGATGAGATGGGAGAAGTTTTGGAAAATGTTCTTCTAATGCCTTCAGTGATTTCATGAGTGTTAAACAAGATTAGCTGAAAATATGGGGGGGGGGGGGACAAGTTTGGGGTCCAAAAGAAAAGAGATATGAAAGTCACCAAAGTGAGGTATTTAATGTGAAATATGATTGCCTGGCAATGTTAAAGGGATAGAAAAATGAAAGCACAAGGGGCCAGTAAGCAAAAGAAATCAAGCTTAAAACTGTATTCACACAAGATCTTTGACATTGTAGTTAAACAAATTAGCAAATACTTGGAAGCCTAATAAGTTTCTTTTTTTAAAAGATTTTATTTATTTGACAGAGAGAGATCACAAGTAGGCAGAGAGGCAGGCAGAGAGAGAGAGGGGGAAGCAAGCTCTCTGCTGAGCAGAGAACCCAATGTGGGGCTTGATCCCAGGATTCTGGGATCATGACCTGAACCGAAGGCAGAGGCTTTAACCCACTGAGCCACGCAGGCACCCCAAAAGCCTCTTGAGTTTTTGAGGGATATGTACTACTGTTAATGAAACCCAATCCTAGCCTGCAACAGTGTATGACTCAAATCCCGCAAACAATTCCCAGACTTTGGAACAGATCCATCAGGAATTTATGTAGTTTTTCCAAGGATATATATGAAACTATATATTTCTAGCTATACAGGCTACTAGCAGAGAATGAAAGTGACATATGTGTACATATATACATATATACGTATATATGTATATATATATAGCTCTCTCTAGAGAGCTAGAATGTAGATTTGCTTTTTTCATTTGCTTTTTAAGAATATATAAATTGTTTTATAAAAACCTGCCTTGTTTTTTCGCTTCCATATTTTGGCAATCATTCCAGTTGCTGTTGCCATATAACCACTCCAGACTTGGCTTAAGATACAGTAATAATTTATTTAGCTCACACATATGTAAAAACTTGGACAGGGCTTGGCAACAACAGCTCATCTCTGATTGACGTAGCCTTAGATGGGGTGACTCGAAAGCTTGATGGCTGAAGGCTGGGATTATCTGAAGATTCACATGCTCACATGTCTGGCACTTGATTCTGGCTATCAACTGGACCTTAGGTTGGTCAGCCAGAATACCTACATGTGATATCTCTATGTGGCCACTTAGCATAGTGTCTTGGGTTTCAAGAGTATGCCCTACAAAACAAGGTGAAAGTGCATGTAATTTTTATGATCTAGCCTCAGAAATCACATAACATCACTTGTGTCATACTCTATTGGTTGAGGCAGTTAAAGCTCTATGAAAGAATTGTCACATTTTGGGGCACCTGGGTGGCTCAGCGGGTTAAAGCCTCTGCCTTCGGCTCAGGTCATGATCTCAGGGTCCTGGGATCGAGCCCCGCATCGGACTCTCTGCTCAGTGGAGAGACTGCTTCCTCCTCTCTCTCTCTCTCTCTCTCTCTCTCTGCCTACATGTGATCTCTGTCTGTCAAATAAATAAATAAAATCTTTAAAAAAAAAAAAAAAAGAATTGTCACATTTTAAGAAAAGCCTGTAGGATAGGATATATTGTGGCCTGTTTGGAAAATGCAATATGCCATAAAGATCTTCCATACCTAGCCTGGGAAGTTGCATAATTTCACTTCTGCCCATTCTCTGTTTAGGCAGCTACATTTTGATAGCAGAGTGTCATGTTGTAAGCAGAGCATATGGGGTAGGATATAGTTGAGTGAGTGGGCCTTTTTGGAAAAGATATTCTGTCCCAGAGGTCCTCTCCTACATGAAATTACCTCATTTTTATGGTGGCATGTTGTTATACCTATATATTCTTTTAATTATACACCATAATTTGGGCAGACTGCCAAAATTTTCAGGTTTTTTTCCCCAGGGTGCTTGGCTCCCCTGCTAAGTACCAAATTTTCCATTCTCTCTTGCCAATTGTGGCCCTGTGACTAAGTGAAAGGTTATCAGAAGTGATACATAATTTCCTTCTCACTTGCTCAAAACTTCCCATAAGAACAGGTCGCCTGGGTGGCTCAGTTAAGCATCCGACTCTTGATTTCATCTCGGGTAAAGACCTCAGAGTCGAAAGATTGAGCCCTGGTTGAGGTCCATGCTCAGTAGAGTCTGCTTGAGACTCTTTCTCTCCCTCTCCCTTTGTCCACCCCCCTCAAATAAATAAATATTCCAAAATTTTTCCATAAGAGTATAGAAATAACTCCCAATTCATTATTAATTACAGTTAGTATAAATAATGTGGCTATTTTACTTCCAATTCTGGATCAAGATGGAGTATAAAGAAACATGAAGCTATTGTAAAAGAGTAACTATAAGATATAAAGAATTCTGAAGAGTACCCAAAGACTGAAGGAGAGTATCCAGGGAAGGATAAATTTGAAGATGGGCCCCATCTCTAAGTCTGGGGTTCAGATTTCATTATAGAAGGTATGGTTTCAGCTCCACTGAATGGTGGAGAATTTTGGTGGGATGCCAGGGCTAGAGCTAATCTATACTTGTTCAGCAAGCAGGAAAAAAACCTTTGGGACACAAATGAGTTGCAGTATTAACAGTAGGGGACTTTAACACAGCACTTAGATCAGTGGATAGATCATCCAGCCCTCTTGAACCGTTGGTGAGAATGCAAGTTGGTGCAGCCACTTTGGAAAACAGTGTGGAGATTCCTTAAGAAATTAAAAATAGGGGCACCTGGATGGCTCACTGGGTTAAGCCTCTGCCTTTGGCTCAGGTCATGATCTCAGGGTCCTGGGATCAAGCCCCACATCAGGCTCTCTGCTTCC